CCTGGTTTCAGGGTTATGCTTTTTACTTTCATTCTTTTCTCCCCACTTTCACAATAGCTTGAGCTGTGATTTATTGCAGTTTTTTGAGATGCCTAGACATGAAGCACTTGATGGTGTCACTTTCACAATAGCTTGAGCTGTGCTTTTACAATATAGCTTTTTACTTCAAAATGAATGACCTTTTAAACTCTATCCTCTCTTCCCCCCTTCTTTGTGTTTAATTTAGAATTCTCAAGTTGCCTTGGAATTTAGCATACTATTTTGAATTGATATATTCTATAGAACTAATGGTGTCACTTATTACAGCTTCAATTAACATACAGACCCGAGGAAGGTCCTTATGAAGATAATAAATCATCTAATGATGAACCTGAACCATTTGCAGCTGCTGATGATGTTCCTGTTTCCAGTGTTGAGACTGCTCCCCCTCCGGCACCTCAGACCAACTTGGTCACTGATGACTTACTGGTATGTTTCTTTTTGAGTTTCATAACTTATCCTATTTGTATATTTCTTTCATTTTTTGATTGCATTTTGTTGGGTTAAGGGATTGAATGATTCTGCACCTAACGCCTCGGCAATTGAGGAAAGTAATGCTTTAGCACTAGCCATTGTTCCAACGGAATCTGGTAAACTGTGTTTCGTAGTCTCTTGCCTCCCTCCCATTATTTGATGGTTAATATTCTTACTCTGGCTTGGCGATGCTTAGCAGGTGCTTTTTCGTAATATTTTATTTTGCAGGTACTGCTTCAACTTTTAATTCTAGTGCTGGTCAACCAAAAGATTTTGATCCTACTGGATGGGAACTTGCCCTTGTCACAACACCAAGCACCGATATTTCTGCACCAACTGAAAGGCAATAGGTATGCCCTCTCTGCGCGTTCAACTCTCCTGTATTTCTATGTTGCTTCAACTCTTCATTTCTGTTTAGATTTTCATTCCTAGTCCCGTTTTAACGATACCATACATGAAACTGAAAGACAACCAAAGTGCCTGAGTGAGAATACACGGAGGCCCTGAGTCAGTAGCATAATCTGACCGAATTTGTAATTGATGATTGACAGGCTGGTGGATTGGACTCTCTCACTCTCAACAGTTTATACGACTCAGCTGCATATACAGCTTACCAGCAGCCTGCGTATGGGAATGCTGCGCCAAATCCATTCGAGGTACAGGATCCATTTGCTGTATCGAATCACATTGCTCCCCCTACGGCTGTTCAAATGGAAGCAATGACTCAACAGCAAAACAATCCTTTTGGTTCTTACCAACCTACGTATCCGCTGCCGCAGCAGCAGCAGCATTTGATGGTGAGCCCATCAAATCCTTTTGGTGATACAGGGTTCGGGGCATTTCCGGCGAACCAAATGGTCCCCTATACTCAACCGCATGCAAACAATCCATTTGGTGGAAGCACAGGTCTATTGTAATGTTAAATAATATGAAGAGTCAATTGGTGTGTCGTTTGGTCGTTGCCGGTCAGTTTTGATGTTCTTTGAAGATAAGAGTGTAGAAAGGATGAATGGGTTTTGAAGTCAGCCGGTGTTGAACGCCAAAAAAAAAAAAAAAGTGGGTATTCATAGATGTAATGATATTAACTTGTTGGTACCAATTCATTAATGCCACAAAGTTGTGTTGAAAATTTCTCCGCTTTCCCCCTTTTCAATGCTATTTTTTTTTAAAAATAAGATGGTGAAAATTATTATTTTTTTTATTTCAGGAAAAAAGAAAACTTATCATCAATATTTGATATTAAGGGTCTACGAATGAACTAAAGTTACTTTAGTAGTTAACAAATTATTACTATTTCTTGAGGTCTTGGATGAGTATAACATTTGTAGAAGTTTATAACGTTTATTGTCAAATATGTAAAAGGTTTTCAAACGGATATCACTTTCTACTTACCCTAGATTGATAAAAGAAAACATTAAGCATATATCTTATAGCTTGTAACCAATGAAATGTTAACATTAGTGCGAAAAATATTTGAGGGCCAATTTTGACAAAATTAGGGTAATTTTGTCGTCAAAAAAATAATTAGAAAGATGTTGATTGTTAGTGATGGACGTATAATTTTATGTTAGGAGACGAACTTAAACTTAAAAAGGATGAACTAAAATTTTAAGAGCAGAGGCGAAACATATTTTTAATAGGAAATATATAGAAAAATTTAAAGTATACCGTAATTATTTAAAATTATGGGATTGTTGCTACTGTGTCGACTAATATTGTTATAGTGAATAGTCATTATCTCTTATTGATGAGTTATTCTGATTCTTTTAAATAAAATAATATAAAATTGTTCTTCTTTTAGAATTCAACTGACGACGCTTTCTCTTTTAGAATGCATGCGGGCAGAGTGAGAGCAGCTATTCATCGGTTCATTGGATGGCTAAAATTGACTTTATAAACTCAATCTGGATGGGTGAAATGGTAAACCGGTTAAAAGAAAATTAGTGTTGGGAATAAAGTTGAACAATAAATTTAGAGAGGAGAAAAGGCTGCAGCTTCTTCGGTTATGGTTTCAGAATTTTAATATATTATTTTAATTAAAATGCTATTTACTTGTGATATATTTTAGATGATATACTTGAATTAAGTTGGTTGTTGGTTTTATGACTTATTTTGTATGTTTTAGTTAAATTAAATTGTTAAAGTTGAGTGCATAAAAAATGTTGAAAGTGTCTAAAATGCATATAGTATAAAGTTTTGGGTTAAAAAGGAGTTTTGTTCAACTCCTATATCTTGGATTCGAACCGCTATGTTTACAGAGTATATATGTGTCGTCAATTATTGAGAAAAATTATAAATAAATATTACATTCTAATTACTTCAAATTATTTAAAAAAAAGTTTAATATATTTTTTAGTGCCTGAATTATACATGAAAATACGATTTGGTGTATAAATAATTTTTTTGCTAACAATAGATGTCTAATGTTTCCAACGTTATACTTTTAGAAACCTGAACTGTAGTAGTCATTAAATTTGGTCGTTATCTAACAAGTGTACTCATTTAAAATTCCAAAAATTATTTTATTTAAAAAACTTAATATTGTAATTTTAAAAAACTCAAACCCCCTAGATTTTACATCTTTCGTCATCGATCCGTGGTCGTTACCGTTGACACCATAAGAACGGTCTCTTCACCACAAAAAACACAGTCCCCCACCCACTGTGAAAACTATGCCGGTCATAGTGAAAAATGTTGTGAACGGTCGTCGGATTTTTAGGTTTTTTGTTGTTTTCCGGCGATTTTGATGGCTAAATCCTATACATTACACGACCGCCACTATTGACTTTCTCGTCCTAGTTCAAACAAAACCTGACTGATGGTGACCTTTACCCGTCTACGGTGGGGATAGGAAGAAAATGGACGATGTGGGGTGGGGATTTATTTTTTTATTTTTTTATTTTTATTAAAAAATAATTGTATTATTAAAAAATTTAAAAATTAAGAAATATATCGATAGACATCTGAAAGTGTAACGGAGACAACTATAGGTATCTAAAAGTGTAACGGAGAAAACGTTAGACACCTATTGTTAGTAAAAAAATCTTTAGATATCAAATCATATTTTGAGGTAAAATTTAGACACTAAAAAATATATTAAGTGATAAAAAATAATAAAAAAATAAGAGAGAAAGTAAAATCTAATGATTAATTTGTAAAATCTAATGACAAGCTTGAGAACAGAAAAAAATCAATGTCATCAAAATGACCGCAACTAAATAAAATTAGAAGTTCCTATATATGGTATGATACTACATTAAATTTATTCTTAAAATAATATTAGCCTTTGATTTTTATTCTTATATAGAATAATGTTTGAACTATTTTTTCCCATTAAAATAATTTTTTTATTATTATGTTCCTTTGACTCTATTTTCCAACCAAGCGTGTTCTGCTTCCTTGCCCATTTTAAATATTCAACTCTCCTTACCTTTTCTTTTAGAAAGTTTAGGGGGAGAATATTATTTTATTTTATCCGAATTTATTTAATTATTTTTACATGGATAAATTATAAATTTTATCACTTAATTTACTTCTCATTTCTATTTGTTCATTAAAATTAAATAAAAAAATTGATTCTCTAAACTTTCGATTTACTTCTATTTTGATTACTCTACACTTAAATATTTTTCTTTTAAGTTTATGAAAAGTCTCATTTTCTTTATCTTTTGTGAAAAAGTTTGTAGTTTTGAATTTCCTTTGATTTATCGATAATGAAACATCGTCTTTTAAATTTCAATGACGGGGAGATAGAGAATGAGGAAACAAGTTGTATATCTTGATCACACGATGATCAGATGATAAATACTATAGATCATAGTAGTTTAGAGTTTCATGAGTTTTAGGTTTATGGATTTTGTTAGTTTTAAAGTGATTTATATAAAACCTAAACTAATAGATTAGCAGGAGACAATGAAGTAAATTCGTCGATATTTTGAGTGGTTAAAAAAGACACAAGAGAAAGATAATTGCAAGATTGACGTGAGACAAAGATGAAATTATAAAAAAATTTGGAGGAAAAATATATAAGAACAAGAAGAAAAATGACGTAGATGTCATATCAACAAAAATCAATCCACACCGGCACACATAATTGTTATATCATTATTCTATTTATTATTTAACATCGGAGTGATTAAAGTAAATCAAAAACTCAACGAATAAATAAAATAAATTAATTTTAGTAATCAAAATAAGAAGGAAAAAAAAGGTTAAATTGTGAAATTTACAATTTACTCTTTTATTTGTTGAATGTTTATTATATTTCCGAAGATTGACTTTCGTTTAACATATCAATGAAATAAGAAATTGAAATTTATAGAAGAGAGACCAAATCCAAATGAAGAGAAATAAGAGAGATGGAAGAGGAGAAATAAATACAAATGGGAAATGTCAACCAAATAGTCAATAAACGCCCACCCACGCGTATATTTTATTTCTTAAACAAACAAACAGTAAAAAACAAATAATTTCCCCGGAGAATCATCGACTCTTCGAAAAAGCAAAACCTTGCTGCGTCCTCCAACTTTTCCAAGCTCCAAACTTTCACAAGAATTCGTTCCAGAATCTTTTTGTTTTAATTTTTCATGGTCTGGTTTTCAAAACCCCATGAACAAATCCAAGAATTTCTTCCGGAATCTAGTGAAACCTTTCAGGTCAAGCTCAAGCAATGGTAAAATGAAAAACCCAGTTTCGTACATGAAAAATGAAGAGAAAGACTGGTGTTCTATTTCTACTTGTTTGATGATCTATTTGTTATTTGGTGTGTGCGTGTTTCAGTGGGGGATAATGTAGAGGATTTGGAGAGAATAGCTCAACAAGAACAAAAGAGCTTCCTTTTCGAGACTTTAGTTGCTGCTACAAAAGATTTCCATTCTCATCACAAGCTTGGTGAAGGGGGTTTTGGACCTGTTTATAGAGTAAGATCCCAATTCTTGTTTGGTTGCCTAGAAAATAGAGGGAAACTTTTGTTGTTCTTTAGTTTGAATTAAGAATATAAGTAATATGATATAATGGATTGTCATAGATATTATTTGCATTAAAGTATATATGATGCAAGTCTAATATGTATGTATCCCTTATGTAAGTGTAATATGTATGTATCCCTCATGGGGTAGCTCCATTTCTTGTAATTTTTTCATATATTGAGAGCCATACTCTTGAACGCCTGAATATGTGTCGGACCAGGGATGGACCGAAGGGCTGCTGGTGGTGCAGTCGCATACTAATATAACTTACTAGGTTCGAACTCCCTGAAATAAATCTTGCGTCTACCCTTGTGTCCGACATTGGTACTTTAAGAAGAATGAAGAGTTCGAGGAACATAGCTTGAGAATCCCATTTTCACCATTAGCTTTTATTAAGAGTGAACCATATGTCCCAAGCTAGCCTGACCATTAAACTCTTTTGTCTTAGCTATTAAAAGGGAGGTAAAGCATGCACAGTTTTAATTGAAATCACTCACGTAGTATCAAGGTTTCAAAATGCTGATGTTTTTGCTTGGTTGATCAAACTAAACTGCGAGTAATTTTTCTGAACTTGGTAGCTGTTACTTAATTTGTAGGGTAAGTTAGATGATGGAAGGGAGATTGCAGTGAAGAAGCTATCTCAAAACTCGAGTCAGGGGAAAAAGGAGTTCGAGAACGAAGCTAAGGTCCTAGCACGCGTGCAGCACCGCAATGTCGTGAATCTGTTGGGGTACTGCATACATGGTGATGAAAAGCTTTTGGTATATGAATATATCACTAATCAGAGTCTTGACAAGGTTCTCTTCAGTAAGTTATCATATTGTTATCTGCCACATTTTCTTCTATGCTTCATAACAATTCGAGGTTATCGGTGTAATCCCGATAATTTTGGCATGATTTAGTGTTCTGTTTTAGAAACATCATGGTTTGTTTCATTTTTTTTCTGTATCTGTTGTTTCTTTTCTTTTATCTCCATCTTTGTGACTGAGTGTTGTTGTAATTTACTGGTTTCAAGAACTCAAAATGGATTAACATATGTAAGCATTTGTTTCGAACATCCTTCAAGAGAAGGAAAAACATGGTCAGGCTAGTGTAAAATATTTGAAAACTCATTTTACACCGCTTTTAAACGAGCAACAAAACCAAGGCAGAACCTTAGTATTTAGAAAAGAAGGAACCACTATGTTTACAGGAAGGAGATTTTGGAATAAGAACGGAACCTACAGCTTATGTTGCACAAATCTTGATGCATTTACACTTTGGAAATTGTTAAAATTTCAGTTTGAAAGGGTGTTGGATTAGGAGATACTTCATACAAGCAATTAGATCGAGTTGGAAGGCTTTGACTAATGACTGATCTTTCATTAACCTCATCACTGCTATTCCAGGACATGGACTTGAGATCTCCGAATTGGACTGTAAATTTGTTATTGTTGGTTCATCCCTTTGGTGGCATCTAGTATGCATTTGATTGTAACGATCGAGTCAAATGAACTCATAGCGAATCGAATGAATTCGAAAATGAATGATGTAACCATCATTAGGGACATGCATGAGTATTGCTATATATCTTTAATAATTTGATTCATTGGAAGTTCTCTGATTCATTTTTCTGATAACTTCAAGATTTTGTCCTTGAAACCAATTCATTTTTCCGATTTTTAGTAATAGTAACGATGGTGGTGGTTTATTCCATAGAACCGAGTAGAAAAGAGGAGCTTGACTGGAAGCGAAGGTATGAAATAATTACAGGCATTGCACGGGGTTTGCTTTACCTTCACAATGACTCACACAACCGTATCATTCACCGGGATATCAAGGCGAGCAATATTTTACTTGACGATAAATGGGTCCCTAAAATTGCTGATTTCGGTATGGCTCGCCTCTTCCCTGAGGGCGAAACGCATGTTAACACCAGGGTAGCTGGTACCAAGTATGTTGTCTTTCATGCATCTTCTTATTTGATAACTTGATGAGGTCTACCTGCCTCGGATTTATGCTATGTCACAATGCCTATACCTTAGTTGTAAGGTGTTTATTTAATGAAGCTATTCGTATTTTGTTGTTCGGAAACAGCGGATATATGGCGCCGGAGTACGTTATGCATGGACATCTATCAGTGAAGGCCGATGTGTTCAGCTTCGGAGTTTTGGTTTTGGAGCTAATAAGTGGCCACAGAAACTCATCTTTGAGTTCAAATGCTGATGCTCGGAATCTACTCGAATGGGTAGGAGCAAGATTATAAGCTAATCATTTGCCGTCTGAATCTTTGTTTCTTTTATCCGACTCTCTAAATATATAGAAAAACTTGAAAAATAAAAATAGAGTGTACTTGTGCTGACACATACTTATGTTCGAATCTGCATGTATCGAATCATTCATGATATTCGAAAGAAATGTTCTGTAACCAATGCTTGTTTGCTTGTCAATTTGCAGGCATAAGCTTTACAAAAAGGGCAAGGGCATGGAGATCATGGATGCTGCTATAGCATCATCGGCACCCTCTGAACAAGTAGCTATCTGCATCCAAATAGGTTTATTATGCGTGCAGAGCGATCCCAAGGTACGGCCGGACATGCACCGGGTCGTTATAATGCTTTCGAAGAAGCACGGACATCTAGAGGAGCCAATGAGACCTGGAATTCCAGGTACTCGATACAGAAGATCCCGCCTGCCTCCCGGATCCTCATCGACTGCCCCTGGAGCCTCTGTTTTTTCGGATTCTAATTCTTCAGAATCAACCTTTAACATTACTACTAATACTGCATCTGCTTCAACATCAGCCCTTGCAAGCTCCTCCAACCCCGATCCCCACGGGAAGCTCCCGATGAAGAGTTAGTTTTGCCGGGAAATTTCTAGGTCTACGTTTATATTTGATACACTGGTAATATATATATCTATGAACCAAATTGTGCCATTTTATTGAAGGTCAAGTTATTCAAATACTTATGAAATTTTTTAATGAAGTGGCATCATTGGTTCAGTGACATGTTATAGATATATACATTATCCTTGCATCAAATATAAACTCTTTGTATACTTGTTATAATTAGTATGAAAATTGTGAAGTTTAGCTTAGTGTATAGTCTGTAAGATGGATGAGCTGAGATATTAGAGAGATTATAGAATTCATTGTTTTATTTGTAAGATATGAAAGAATTTTCCTTTAATTATTTGATAAGAGAAAAAAATGTAAAAAGTTTTCCTATTGATGAAAAAAATTCGTATTGTTTAATTTAATTAAATTTTAAAGTTAAAAAGTATTAAACAATGTGATCATTTTATTTACAATAACTGTCACTGGTATAATGGTGATATAAGATACTAACATGATGATTTAGATGTTTATGACAAATATGAGATCAACCATTTTTTTTAATAAACTGAGGTGATTATAATAAAATAATATGTGTTCTAAATACTTTCAATCATTCGATAATGAATACTCAATCAGTCTACTGCAGTTGCTAGTGCTCGAACTCGTGAGCTCTAAGAATAACAATAATTTATTTAACCATTAAGGTAAGTTGATTCGTGCATGAGATCGATCATGTTGCTCTCTCATTCTTATTAGAAATTATATAATTTTTATATAATATAAGATATTATATATATATATTCCAAATATGAGACCGACAAAAAGATTGTTCAGTTAAAAAGTCGCACAAATGCAAAGAAAATAAAACTCCATAGAAAGCAAGAAAAAAAAACAAAGATTAATACAAAATCTTACTATTGTTTTATTTTCTACATCGTAACGGCAATTGATTGGGTTACAAAGTAGCAAATAATCAACACTTTATAAACCCTAAAAAAACCCAAAATACACAAATAAATTCGTTAAACTGATGGAAATTAAGCAGACATACATATAAGAAAATGGTTGTAATGTCACCAAAATCATTGATGATGGTTAACCCTCCATTGCTTACCTGAAAAGAACAACATGTCTGCAGCAAAGTTCATGCCAGTGTTGTAGATTGTAGAGATTTCTTGCTCACTTCATATGGTGCTGCAGTCGTAACCCTACAAGCAGCGGATAAACGAGGCGTTAATACGAGCACAATATTGCAACTCAAGCTTTAAATCTTATCATCCGACCTGGATAAGAACTGACCTCTCCTTGCGCTTCTCCAAAAACCGAGCCAGGGATGCTTTGCGAGCCTGAGGAACTGCAGGCAAACGATTCCAAGTCATTTACAAATGAATTTTCAGTAATAAGTCAAGTGCCAAGGGGTGAATTAAGCTGAACAAAATGCATACCGGAAGGCATCATGCCGGTTATTGGTCCCTTGGTATTTGCCGGTTTTGGAGGCTCCGCTTTGCTGATAGGGGTTGTTGAACTTCCCGTAGTCTTGTATACAACCAGTTCATCGGTATTAATGGATCCACTCCTAGATTGAACACCCGTGTGAGATGAAACCGACAAAGGGCTTGGGATACCAGAGCACAGTTGTGTATTCATGAGCTGGTTTGCCGGAACAGTTTCGAATTGAACTGTCTTTGAAATCAGGGTCTGGAGTTGCGCTTTCTGTTGTGTCGTGTTAGAAGCCATGGAAGATCCGTTCCCAGCAAGTAACATGATAGCCTGAGCCTGAATAATGAGCAAAATAAATAAATAAAAAATGTTACTTTCTTAGCTTTCCATTGACTAACAGATCCCAGAAAGTAAAAAGAGTCACCTTCTCGGGGGTAATATCTTCGAAGACATTCACGGTACCAGCATAAAAGATCGTCAATTGAGCAGCAGGTGATCCGGAGTCCCGCAGGACCTTGCCGCTTTTCCTAATAAGGAAAACATAGTTCCAACAGAATCAGTATTTGTCAACATTTTCGATAAAAGTAACCAAAGGCAAGCTTAAATTCATTAAGTTTACCATGGTTCGATGCTTCCGCCCAAGGAAGCAAGGGCGGGAAGAACCGAATGTGGAGTCGACACCGGAATTCCTCCAAGCAATTGTGGTTTCATGGCAGTAGTAATGGGCAAATTTAGACCAGCCGTAGAGAAATGATTCTTCATAAACTGGTTGGTCGTCGAAACGGAAATCGATTGGTTTGGGAACGGAAACATTTTCACATCATAAGGCCGTTGAAGGTGATGTACATCATGTTGAACAGAGGAAGAAGCCGACAACGGAAAATTATTGCCTACTCGTTGGCTGTTGTGAATGAAGGATTTCTATAGACGGTGAAGGCCAAAATGGAAGAGAAAACAACATAAGTTGATTATTCACATTTAGTTGGAGACATCCTCGATCAACAAATATGGTCCAACATGAATATGCAACCTTATAAATTTCAAATTCACCTATACTTTAAATATTATCTTCGCACTCGACATAAAATTATGGGTCCATCTTCTTATGTTTGGATCTTGACATAAAATTTTACGTTTATCCCTAAGTTTCGGATACCGCCGGAGCTAGTTTGTAAAACAATTAACTAATACTGCATTGAAAGACATGGAAATGAAGGCATACCTGAAGTTGAGCAGCATCTGGAGTTAAGATATGCATGAAACCAGGGGGAACCATTGAATCATGTTCAATCCATTTAGCCTTATCTCCTTGACCAAAATCAAAGCTCATCGCAGCCGAAGAAACCTTGTTCGAAACCGGCCATTGAAATCCAGAGCTTTTAGTAAAACCTATAAAATCCCAAGTAATCAACTGCAAGAATTTTATCCATCTTCTCCTAATATAAATAAAAGAAAGCTTGTTCGGCTTCATAGCAATAACAGAAATGGAAGCTTTATAAGTGGTAATATCCAAATAAGAAAGTACACACCCATTTCTTAACTTCTTCTCTAACCAGAGGCAATGATTCTTTTGAGCTCAAACCCAGAAAATCTCTCTCCATTTCCTTTCTTTCAGTTTCTTATTCAAAGCGAAAGCCACCTCGTAAACAAAAGGATTTCACTTTCTTATATCTTATCCACCAACAAAAACATGAAGGTGACCAAAGGCAAAGCGAAAGGCCAAAGCTTTTCTGCAAGCCGCAGCTCCTGAGGGAGAATAACAGAGGCAAAGCAGGCTGAAAGAAGTTGCTTTAATAATGAGATCTTGACCGCTAACTCTCTCTCTACTTTTTTAATTAATATTAAGAATTATATATTTTTTAAAAAACAAATAAATAAAAATTTATCAGACCCTTCAATTAAAATAATTATATGTATAGAAAATAAAAAATATTTTAACCGTCGTTAAAATAAAATCTTAATCCTACCATGCTTATAATTATTATAAAACAATTTAAATTCAATCTATTAAATAAATTCAAACATAAATCAAATGATTTTACTGATAAAAAGGTATTATTATATTTAGATATTTCAGATTCAAAGATGATATTTATAATAGTATATGAGAATTTATTATTTAAAACGGATAATATTTTATAATTATCTCATATTAATAAAAAAAATTAATTTGCGACCATCTTTTCTTTAAATTAAAATAATGATAACATTATCATCATCTTTTCTTTGAATTAAAACGATAACCCAAAACTGAATACTCTTATCACAATCCTTAGTTCTTGACATTTCCACTTTCTTAGTTTTAAATTTTAAGAGAAAAATTAATTCTATGTTTTTTTATTTTACTTGATTATATAAGTCATTAAATAAGTTGATATAAATGTCATGCCAGTATAGTAGCTAAGTTTTTAACTATGTGACTAAAATGAAATTAAAATTAGACGTTATATATAACTTTTTTTTAAAAGTTGAGTGACTAAAAATGAATAAAACTAGTAGTTAAAGTATTAAAAATGTATTTTACCCTAAATTCAATAAGTTGATACAGAATGTAGAAAAATATGGACCACTCAAATTTGCAAATGTATATCAGTGAATAAAGTAAGAGGACGGGAAAATAATGCGTGACAACTACGTCACGGCGCCGTAAAAATTAGATCGTATTAAACTCACACGTGTAAGAATCGTCCAATGATTAACCGTCACTTGGCCGAAACGTGAACTTTACTTGTTTATCATATACAGTAAACACGTGATTATTTTTCTTCTAATTTACAGCCATTGTTGTAATATTATATTTATATGAAATGGTCAATTGATATTTAGGATAAATTACAAATTTGGTAACTGAATTTTACTCTCTCTCCTATTTCATTCATTGTACTTTAAATCTTTTTAATTTTCTCATTGAACTTAATATATTCGATTTTTTGTCACTCATTCGTTTTTCACTAACTACATTATAAATGGACTTTTATACATATGAAAATTGATGTCGTTTCGATAAAATTTAGTTTTTTTTAAACGGTTCCTCTTTAACACCGGTAACTATTTAACGGTGAATATGACAAAAAAATTCAATGTATTAAGTTCAATGAAGAAATTGAAAACTTTTAAAGTTTAGTGAACAACATAGGAGAGAGAGTAAAGTTTAGTGATAAAATTTTTAATTTACCCTAATACTTAAATGGGTAAAGTACATAAATGATCCCAAATGTATTATTTTGTTGAGTTATTAAACTATTAAAATTTATAAAATAATTGCTCAACTATAGTCAATACTTCGTTGAATTTTTCAACTACTAATAATTATAAAATAGTCACTTGAATATTCATATGCTTCAAATTCTTCCTTTTCTCTTAAAAAATTGGTGATCGAGCGTTAAGCTGAACGTTAACATGTTAACTGAGATATGTCAAAATCATATTTTAATGATGTGAACTGGCAATTCCGTTACTTTCAAGCATTGGTTCGTCGTCATAGTGTTTCAAGTACTGACACAATAAATGAAGAGTCGTTCCACAAAATATAATTCAAATGGTTATGAGATCAGATTTTATCATATTCATATCTTAGTCAACATGTTAACATTTAGTTTAGACAATTGTCAATTTTTTAACAAAAATGATGAGTTTAGAACATATAAATAATTGAATAATCATTTTGTAACTTTTAATAGTCAGAGTATTTAACAAAATAGCGTATTATAATCGATAGACTATCTTATAACTTTTAATAATTATGAGACTCGATAAAATAATATTTTATAGTTGATGAATCATTTGTCAACTTTATACTATTAAATCATAAAAGGGCAATAAGCTTTTAAATTATTAATTTTCTTGTACATTACGACACCACGTGCTGATGGTCCTACAGATATTACTAATATTAATTTTATGTTTAACTTACTCAACTTTGTTGTTGTTGTCCCTTTCAAGTAATATATATATAGAGTTTTGGATTATAAATATATTTATTTTAATAGTCGAAAATTAATATAAGATAATATCTATTAATAATTTTTATCAATAATTAAAATTAAATCTTTTGATGGGATCGAATTATAAAATGAATGTGCATGTGGATTACTTTATTCAAAGACAGTAATTAACTAATTAATTTTGTTTGAGTTCGTGAAATGAATATAGTTGGCAAATATTCCCTATCGTTGTTGATTTGAAGCTGGGCAAGATATGGGAAGGCAAGGCATGTATATGTCCACAAATCATTACTTTGAAAATCCAATGAATTATAACCATTTTTCTTTTTCTTTTTTTAATTTTAAAAATAAGAATAGGAAACTGAATCGTATTTATTATTTAAAAAAAATCAATGAGAGATGTGACGTGTTTTCTAACTGTATTTATAGGATTTAAAATATTCCTACTCGCTATATTAAATACATAAACTAAATTAAATTAACTTAAGGAAATAATGTTGTTGGGGAAAAAAGTTAAAATAACAATCATAGAAGTTATCAGAGAAATAAGGTGAATTTTAAAATAGTAGGTGAATTTTCAACAACTTATGTGTTTCCTATTCTACCTAAATAAATAATGCAGAAAAAAAATGTAATAATTTACCATAAAACGAGACAAGAGAGAAAGGACATGAAATTACGATGGCCACCCACCACCGAGCTGCTATTATCCGCTTATAAAATATTGGCCTCAAATAACTAAATACTATCATAGTCTTCTTCTATTAGGGCCGTTTGGATGAGGTAATGTGAAATTCTCATCCGTTTGGTTTGGTCGGGAATGTCATTTCTGGTAATATTTTATTACCGATAATAGATTTTTTGGAGTATATTACCGGGAATGTCATTACCTCCCTTCTCTTAGGTATTGTAATATTACCGATGTTTTGGACTAAAATGTCCTTAATTTTTTTTTCCAAAAATATCATTCTTATGTCATTGAATAATAAAAATTCTACGAAAGTTAAATTATAAATTTATTCTTAAACTATTTTAGATTTACAAAAAAAAATATAATTAAAATTTTATATGAAATTCAGGGGGTTAAAATAAAATTTTACCCTTTCATTAAACATTTTTTATATTTTTAATTTTGTAAAAAAAGTATATAAATTTTATGAATATAATTTTTTTTAAAGAAAATATATAAATATTTTCCAACTTGTAATATTATACGAATATATAATAAGAACAATTTGGTTAAATATACATTCTAATAATCTGTTATTCCTTTAACCAAACATAGTAATCTTGCATTCATGCTAAACCAACCAAACACAAAATACAACATTCTCAGTAATCCTATTCTTTGGTAATCTTTTATTCCTACCGGTAATCTTTCATTCTGTTAACCAAACACAAAACACACCCTTAGTGTCTTTGTAGGGTGGCTTTTGCCACTCACAAAAAGAAAATAATACTAATAAATAATTCAATGTAAGAAAGGGGACAACAATAATAATAGGAAGGATCACATGGGGATTTGTAGAGCACATGCGAAACTTGGTTTCTTTAGATAATGTCTTCTTCTTTGAGGGCTCCCCTCAGATCCTGTAACCGCATCTGATATGTTCATTCCCAATCATACATACCTCGGCACTATTGCATCCCTGGACCTGTAGCAGTGGCACTACAAGTTTGCAATTTCTTTAAACTTCTAAATGCAGGACCCTATGTTGACCAGGAAAATTGGAAAAGAACAAAGCATTTTTTAAAGATGCAATCTCCATGTAAAGAGAGAGGAACTATTGAGTGAAGAAATAAATTAAGGGGAAAACTAGGATTTTCGTAACTCATCTATTCATTCAACAGAACAAATATGCTGAGTAGACAGAAATGCAGATCCCAAATGACAATTAAGAACTGCAAAATGGGGCTCAATTGCAAAGATGAATTTTGATGATAATTTAACTAATTTACACACAGCACACTGAATATATCCGTGTCAGAGATATACAAATTCAACACTTTTATCCAAGCGAGTAACACAGGTAACGGAAGCTGCATTGCAAAATCTTATCAGCTTGCTTCAAAACAATAAGAAAACGGGTAAGTAGAAATTTAAACAAAAAATCATAAAATAATAACTTATCTCAATCGCGATTCTTAAGCCTCTCGAGAGGCTGCTTCAGCTGCTCGATCTAAACAACAAGGTTAGTAACCGAGTAAAGGAGCCAGTAGAAAATAAGCGGTGACGGAGGTGCTCCGAGGGAGTTCACAAATCGCTGTTGTAACACCCCAATTTAGGGGCTAAATTTTAGAATTATAAAGTGGTGGATTTAATTGGTATTTTGGGAAGAAAATTGAAAATTAAATTGAAATATTTTAAAGTTGTCAGACTATTTTAAGAAGTGTAGGAAATTCAGTGACTAAACTCATGATTTACCTATTTTTTTTGGGATGAATTATAACTACGTTCTGCAAATTATTTTCCTAGTTTCCCTCCCCCTTCAACCCTCCTTTCAACTCCGATCTACCCACCTTCCGACCTCTGTTCGACGAACTGAAACCATCATCATGTTTGTTGTTTAACGATGAACAAAACCCCTTAAACCTTTCGTCGTAAATCGTCATCGTTCGTCGTTAATTTCAGTCAGAAGTATTGTCGGGTTTTAACTCAATTTTCGTTGGTTTTCCGTCGATCCGGCCATCCGTTTTCGACACCTCCCACACCATCGTGTTCCTTGCATGGTTCCGAGT